TATTGGGTGAATACAACATGCTAGTTCATTTTACTTTAACATATTGTTGAGATATTCATTTCAGGTGCACTTAAAATGAAATGTGGGCATGTCCTAAGAGCTGAACTTGGTTATTTGCTTAAACTAGGGATTGCATCTTACTGTTTTATGCATGTTTGGGGGCTCGATTTTGGCTTCCTGTGGCACTCCTCGGTTTGAAATATATGCTATGAGAAAATCTATTTAATTTAAAAAATGTTGTAGCTTGTTTTGAGGGCTCGACTTAGCTCCTCGTGAGGCCTCACTCCTGTTCAAATGTCTGTTGAAATCATATTTAGATATGCAGGTTGTTTCTTAGCTTTGGGTGGCTCGGTTTTACCTACAGATGGTTGGAACTTTAGTTTCTATTAAAATATGAACCTATATCAATGCTTGGGCTTGTTTTAATATTGTTGAGCTCTGACTTTGGCTTTTGGGTTTTCGTTGAGCTTAATTTTGGCTTCTTGTTTCTTGTTGAACTCGGATCTGGTTTCTGGTTCTTGTTGGGCTTGGTTTTGGCTCGGTTTGGAACCTCGGCTTTGGCTTGAAATGGCTAGATCTTTAACGCTTTATAGGGGTGGATTTTAATGTTGTTAGGCTCGATTTTGGGCTTCGAATGGCTCGGCCTTGGCTTTTGTTGGTATTCGGTTTTTCATTTCAGAGGCATTGGGCCCTTACTGATTCTCGATTCGTTTGGATATGGTTGAGATTTCAATTTATATTAAAACTTGAGTTCGTATCAATGTGTTGGCTTTGTCTCTAGTTGAGGGCTGGCTTTGGTTTTATTTCTATTTGGAGACCGACTTTAGCTTTGTTTCTTGTTAAGATGGCTTGGGTTTTGGTTCTTGGTTGGGCTCGGTTTTGGCCTTGTTTCTTGCTGGGCTCGGTTTGGCTCTAGTGTGGGCTGTGTTGGCTCGTTTTGGCCTTGTTGAGCTTGGTTTAGCTCTAGTGGGGAGCTGTGTTTGGTTTCTGGTTCTTGCTGGGCTTGATTTGGCTCTAGTGTGGGCTGTGTTGGCTCGTTTTACCTTTGTTGGGCTTGGTTTAGCTTCTTGTCGAGGGCTGTGTTGCTTTGTTCAGCCTTTACCCGAGGAATAGTTGGGAGGCGGCTTTGCTGGCTTTGGTTCCTACTCCTTACCCGTGAGGTCCATTGCTGATCTTTGGGTGTGATTTGGCTTTCCCTGCTAAGCTTGGATTGACTTGAGTGTTGTGGATGAATCAAGTTTGCTATCCAAAAAGAAAATCATATTTATTTCAGTTATCCCTTCATTTAGTCAGGGAGGCATAACTGCCTTTTGGTGGTCCTTTTGTTAGCTTTGGCCGTGAGCACCTTGTACTTTGGATGACTTCTGGTTATAGGCTTTTGTAGTTGCTCTTTGCTACCTTAAGCCGTGAGCTTTATTAGCTCTTTTTGGGCCCCTTTGTTGCCTTAACTATAAGTCTTACTTGTTGTCTTTTAGACTGCCTTTGGTTAGGGATCTTGGTAGCCATTCTTTGCTCCAGCCGTGAGCCCTCCTATCCCCATCCCTGGCTGTGGCCGAGAGCCTTGTAGGCTGTTTCCTTTTTTCTGCTGATCCTTTGCCGTGAGTCCTACCTGCGGTTCATCTCTTTGTGATGACCCCAATCGTGAGCATGTCTGTGGTTTGATGGGAAGATTTTTATGCTTGTTTGATATGTAAAGTTATGGATTAGGTTGGAAGTCAGAAGATTTTGATATTAACTTTGGGATCTGAGGAGAATTTGCAAGCTTTATTTGGGAAAGTATTTGGTTGATTCGATTAATCCTGCGTTCTTGGGGTTTGGAGAATCAGCGCAAAAGAATATTTTATGTTTGTTAGGAAAGACCTTGGACCCTATTTTTCCAGGTCTTTTTCGATACAAGTTTTGAGAATTGATCCAGTCTCCTTTTCGTTGTTTTAGATGGATCAGTGTCTTCTCTCTCTCACCCCATTTTTGTTCTTTTCTTTCCTTGCTTCTTGGTTTGGTTTTCGATGCTTATGTCTGATGCGTAAGTGTCCACGTATAGTTTTTTGCTATACGTGAAACCATCAAGCAATGTCGCAAGTAGTCGTTTTGGGGCGTACGGTGTTGATGATAAAGGCACACCGAAGATAGAGCAGAAAGATACCCTATCCTATAACATCAAGATCCAGGCATTTGATGAATAATAGGATATGGTATCCTTCACCGACATAAGTCTA